AAAAGAAAAATCTCCAGCATAAACATCTATATTAGAAAAGAAGAAAGGTCTCAAATAAAACCCCAGCTTTCTGAAGAAACTGAAGAAACTGAATAAAGAAGAGCAAATAAAACACACTTTATTTCATTTTTCTTCTGTGGGCAGAAGAAAGAACATTATAAAAGTTGATTGTACAATGAGAAAATAGAAAATGATAAATTATAAAGAAAAATCCATAAACCTAAAAACCAGTTATTTGAGATCAATAAACTGTTGAATCTCCAGCCAGAATGACCATGTCAACAACAACAAAAAGACAAATTATCACTATCAGGAGAGGTGTCATTAATACAGGCCTACAGAGATTCGAAGAGTATTGAGGGGTCGGTTGCAGTGGCTCATGCCTGTAATCTCAGCACTTTGGGAGGCTAAGGCAGGAAGATCACCTTAGGTCAGGAATTCGAGACCAGCCTGGCTAACATGGTGAAACCTCATCTCTACTAAAAATACAAAAATTAGCCAGCCATGGTGGCACACACCTGCAGTCCCAGCTACTCAGGAAGCTGAGGCGGGAGAATCCCTTGAAGCTGGGAGTAGAGATCACAGTGAGCCGCGATTGTGCCACTGCACTCCAGCCTGAGCCACAGAGCGAGACTCCGTCTCAAACAACAACAACAAAAATAGTGTTGAGAGACTATTATGAGCAGCTTTATGTTAACACAGTAAACAACTTAGATAAAATGAGAAAACTTCCTGAGAAAAAACAAATTACTAAAGCAAATAAAGAAGAAACAGATGCTCTATTAAAGAGCATATATATATATATATATTCCTTATATGTGCGTGTGTGTCCGTGTGTATATATATACACACACACACACACACGCACATACACACACACACACACACACATATGTAGAGAGAGAGAGAGAGGGAGAGGGAGAGAAAGAGGGAGTGTGAGTGTCTCACTCGCTCTGTCATCCAGGCTGGAGTGCAGTGGTGCAATCTTGGTTCACTGCAACTTCCATCTCCTAGGTTCAAGCAATTCTCTTGCCTCAGCCTCCCACGTAGCTGGGATTACAGGTGCCTGCCACCATGCCTGGCTAATTTTTTTGTATTTTTAGTAGAGACGGGCTTTCACCGTGTTGGCCAGGCTGCTTTCAAACTCCTGACCTCAAGTGATCCTCCAGCCTTGGCCTCCCAAAGTGCTAGGAATACAGGCATGAGCCACCACGCCAACCTTAAAGAATATATATTAAAGAAATAAAATTTATAGGTAAAAACCTTCCCACAAAGAAACCATAGGTCCTGATGGCATCGCTGTGATTTTTGCCAATCATCTAAGGAAGAAATAAGACAAATTCTACACAAACACGTCCATAAAATTAAAGAGGAGGAAACACTTAACAATTCTTAGGCCGATATTTCTTGGATATCAAACCAGACAAAGAAAAAAAACAATAGATCAGTACCCTTATAAACATCGATGCAAATATTCTTAACACAATTTTACAAACTGAACTCAACAATGATTTAAAAGTATGACATATCATGACCAAGTCGGGTTAGGGTTATTTCAGGGAAAAAGGTTGATTTTACAGGTGAAGGGGAGGAAGGCAGCAAATCGCACTGCCATGTTTGT